TTTTAAAATGGGCAACGGAAATAAATCTTCTCATGAAGATAATCGAAAAAAAGTGTGTTGTCCCTGTGGCAAAAAAATTGTTTTTAAGAATAAAACTCAAGATCATTTTAAAATAAATGAAAATACTGAAAAACTTATCAAACAATTTATATCTGAAGACTATGATTTGAAAAATGACAAGTATCCTTTAAGCATTTGTAAAACTTGTCATGTTACATTACTCGATGCTGACAAAAACAAAGAAAAAGGAAACGCTTCAATTGAAAAGAATAATTCGCAAAGACCTTTTCAGAAAATGCCAAATTATGCTGATTTGAAATTGCCAAAGACGACTCGTGAATCACGTGATACATCATGCAACTGTTACATCTGTTTGACAGGGAGATACAAAGGACATGCTAAAGTTAAAAAGGGTAAAGGACACAAAAGAGAATTAAAGAACGTAATTAATAAATCTACAGGACTTTATGGAGCTTCAACTACAATAGCTCAGCTCCCTGTTTTAAAAGAAGAAAAAAAAAATTCAAATACGACTACATTTTATAGTAACTGTTATCAAGTGATTGGAAAAGGTGTAAGTCACAATTGTAGCAATCAAAGCGGAAATTTGTTAAAAATAATAGAAACTTTGCCTAAAAAAAGTCAAGAACAAATTGCTTCTAGTATTGTTAAAAAAAAAGCTTGAATCTACGACTCCACCTACAGTTACGACGGATATTGCTTTGAAGTTATCTACTAGCGGACGCGAAAAAACAATCGTATTGAATCCTAGTTTAAAAAAAAATATATTATTTGATAAAGAAAGTTTGGATAACGTTAGAGTAAATTTAAAAGTTTCAGGTAAAAAAATGAATAAAATAGTAAATTATCTAAGATCGAAAGTAGGAAGAAGATGCGTTCCACCGTATTATGCGAAACATTTTTCAGATAAATGTAAGGTTTTAAGTGATGTCTATAAACATGCAGTATGCGAGTTTGATTGTGAAAATGATTCTAAAAAATACCCTCGATCTGTTATCTTTGCTGACGCTGAAGAGCTTTATGAAGCAGTCATAGAACATCGGAAGATAGAAGGGAATGTTCTTATTAAGGTTTTTGCCGATGGAGGTCAAGGCTTTTTTAAGATAAGCTTGACAATTCTTCCAGAGAATTATTCAACCTCATCAGATTATGGTGTCGAAAATAATCAATCAGATTTTGATGACGAATGCGAAAATGAATCGACTGGCAAAAGGAAGCTTTATTCAGAGGGCGGCAGTATCAGCAAGAAAGGTAAGCTCACCAGTGTAAATAGATTAATACTTTTGTGCGTGGTTCCTAATATAAAGGAATCGTATGATAATATTAAAACACTATTTGAAATTACAAAACTTAATAATATTCCTTTTAAGTTTGTTGCAGATTTCAAACTTCTCTTGATTGTTAATGGACAACAAACTGCAACAGCGACATTTCCCTGTCCATACTGTTTCATCACATTAGACGATTTAAAAAAAAATCCTTTTTGTAAGCATCAAACATGTTCTAGTAGTAATTCGAGTTTAACTGGTAGTTCAGAGATTGAAGATGATGTACAATTAAAAACTTATGGAGATTTGAGAGATGATTACAATAAGTTTATTCTTGCAGGTAAAGATAAAAAATTTAGCAAAGACTCTCGCAGCACTATTAATCTACCTCTTTTTGCAGAAGATGATGAAACTTTTGTCCTACAAAAGTGCATTATCCCAGAACTACACGTTTTACAAGGATTGTTAAATCATTTATTTTGGAATGGTTTAGTTCCTCTTTTAGGTAGAGAAAAAGCATTGTTGTGGCCTAAAAAAGTAAAAGTTACGAGGTGTGTTCAAAAAATAACGAGAATTTTCGTTTTATGAAAAAAATATTTATTTATTCATCTACATTAATGTTGTCGCCTTCAAAGTAGTCCCCTTCGGATACAATACACTTATGCCAACGCTTTTTCCAATCCTCGAAACACTTTTGAAACTCGATCTTTGTAATAGCTTTTAGCTCTTTCAGCGATTCGCTTTTAATGTCATCTATGCTTGTAAAACGACGGCCTTTTAATGTTCTCTTTATTTTTGGAAATAGAAAAAAGTCACATGGAGCCATATCTGGCGAATATGGAGGCTGAGGCATCGTTACAGTTTCGTTTTTGGCCAAAAATTCACGAACAAGCAATGAAGTGTGAGCAGGCGCATTATCGTGGTGCAAAAGCCATGAATTGTTTTGCCACAAATCCGGGCGTTTTTTTCGGATTGCTTCACGCAAACGACGTTGAACTTGTAGGTAGTACTGCTTATTGATTGTTTGACCTTGTGGCAAGAATTCATAATGCACTATGCCATTAAAATCGAAGAACACAGTGAGCATAACCTTCACATTCGACCGCACTTGTCGAGCCTTTTTCGGTCTTGGCGATCCAGAATGCCTCCACTGGGACGATTGAGCCTTAGTTTCGACATCGTATCCGTAAACCCATGTTTCGTCACCTGTTATAACACGTTTTAGTAGTTCTGCATCGTTATTGACTTCATTTAGCGACTCCTGAGCAACTTCCATTCGCCGCTGTTTTTGTTCGAAATTCAACAATTTTGGAACGAATTTTGCTGCCACACGTTTCATACCCAAAACATTCGAAAAAATTTGATGGCATGAGCCAACTGATATGCCAACATCATCAGCGACTTCTCTGATTGTGATTCGGCGATTGTTCATAACCATTTCTTTCACTTTTTTCACGTTTTCATCGGTTGTTGATGTGCTTGGGCGTCCGGGTCGTTCGTCATCTTCAACGTTTTCGTGCCCATCTTGGAAACGCTTATACCACTCATAAATCCTTGCTTTACTCATAGCAGACTCACTATATGCCTTTGTTAACATTTGACAAACTTTACTACACTTTATTTCATTTTTTACGCAAAATTTAATACAAATTCTTTGATCCATTTTTTTTCACAAACGAAAATCGCCGAGCTCGAAAAACACGTCTAACGTTAGCGGCTGACACTTAAAAAGTAAGCAATGAATATTGCTGAAAATTTTATCGTACTTCAGGGGCATGTGTACCAACATAATAAAAAAAAATTTTATACAAGCGGACTCTCCAAACCCGCGAAATTTAAAAATTCTCGTTACTTTTTGAACACACCTCGTATATCTAAAAATTACCATGGAGATGCTTTTGAGGGTAATGCCTGTCGAAAATTGATTAAGCAAGCTGACAAACTTAATGATTATGAAATTTTTCAAAATGTAGGTTATTTGAAAATTGTGCCTTACATTGCTGCTTTCAAAGCAATGAATAAGGTCGTTGACTGTTGTTTTACTTCTGGCAAGGTAACATGTTCACCAGATGCTTATGTACATGAATTAGGCAAAGCATTGCAAAGTATCGATAACCTTTCAGAAACTTTAAAAATTCATGTGATTCTTGCGCATTTAAAAGCAAGTTTACAATTAATTGAAAATGATAAAGGCTTAGGGTTTTGGTCGGAACAAAGCGGAGAATCGGTACACCGAGAATTTTTAATATATTATAGCCGCTACAAAATAAATGATATTCACCATGAGTCATATGGATCAAGGTTAAAAAAAGCAGTGGTTGAATTTTCTTCGCTGCACTTGTAATTTTGTTTTGTGCGATTGCTTATTTTTTTCCAATAATGAGGGATTAAGGCACACATGCTAATATTGAAAAAATATACAAAAAATACAAAAAAAACATAAAAGATACAAAAAAATATAAAAAAAATATACAAAAAAACAAAAAAAAAAGCAAAAAAAGAGATGGGGTCAGATAACCACTACATCCACGCCGTTGACCCTGGGGTAAGCTGAAAGTGGTCTTCATATAAATTTTCATGGAAAATATCTATTTTATAACAATGGTACGGATTTGGAAAGTTGTTCGCAATAAAAAATACACAAATTTTATTAAAAAATTTCTTTGTTAAAGCTAATATTTTAAACTTATTACGAAAACAATGTAAAAAACGTATTTTTTTCGAAAAAGTGTCATAGATCGCAAAAGGGATCAGCTACGATTTCAATTTTTGCGAATTTTGAATCTACTTTTGATATAGAATCAACCTGCGCAAACCAATTTCGTCCACATTTTGATCAAACTTTTCTGACCTTCAAGAACACTGTGGACCGCTAAAGAGAGCACAGTTATTTCAAATTGTAATGCAAGCATATCTCTTTCAGCTCATAGCAGGAGCTACTCGAGTAGCTTGTCGAGCTCTGAAAACAACTCGTCGACATCTCGTTCCCGTTCGCTGCGAGTCTGAGACCCGTCGCAGGAAAGATCGGACGATCCAGCGATTGCTGATGTTCCTGATGCAGCGCCGAACATAGAGAAGAAGTCGGATGATCCGATAATAACCGAAGTTCCAGACAAACGTGTGAAGACTTCCGATCCCGCTACCTCGCGGGCTGAAGTCCTGAAGAGACTCGGAAAAGACGTCTTGGAGGAGAAGAAATATTCACAGGCTGTGAATGACATGATCACCCGTCGCTGGACAGGAATTATCAAGAAAGGATTGCCGGAACAAGAAGGGAAGGAGACTATTGCTCTCTACCCAACCCCGGAAAACAACCACGTATGGGATCCGTCGAAGCTGAACCCGAAGTAAAATCAGCATTGCAAGACCTAGCGTTGCAGCGTGATGCTCGTATAGCAACCAAGCAAATTAAGCTGTCGGCGTACTTGGCAGTCACGGCTCAAATGATCGAAGAGCTGCTAGCTCAGGATCCGTCAGAATTGAATAAGTCCCTTTTATAACGTACTAGAACACAACAGCGCGCCTCGCGCGCCTACGTCTAATATATCAGAAATAAAACGAAAGATACCGTATTAAAATAATTTATAAGTGAATTGAATTTAGTGATGAACATAAAAATAAAACAAATAACAGGTGAACCTGTGTTCGTAAATAAAATTTATTTCAAAGCCAAAACCCTAAATTTTTGTGTTCTATGTCACAAAAAAATTGTTATTGATATAGTTCTGTGTAAACATAATTTTTATCAATTGACGTGTCTCTTTGGTTTCCTAAATATATTTTTAACGAATCCCATGATCTCACTCTAGACATAGCAACATAAAGTTGACCGTGATTAAAAACATCTCGTCGAAGATCAATATCAACTTTTCCTAAAGTTTGTCCTTGAGCTTTATTGATAGTTATAGCAAAAGCTAATATAATCGGAAATTGACGTCTTTTAAAAGTAAAAGGATATTGATTTTCACAATATAAAGTGATTCGATTAAGATATATTATGTTATTGCGCTTGTTATCTCCCGTTAATATCTTACATTTTAATAAATGATTTGAAAAATCAAGAATCTGTAACCGTGTTCCATTGCACAAACCTTCACTGATACTTATATTTCTAACTAATATTACCATGCAAAATTGTCGTAAACGTAGTTTATGAGGAGGAAAGTTTGGTGGATTTAGTGAATTAAGATATTCTGGTAACAGAACCTCTTCTAGTTCACCATTATCACAATTTTCTGTGGTATCAATACCGGTGTAGATGCGTTCAGTATTTATATCTAATAAATTAGTAATTTTATTATTCATTTCATCTACATCCACATTTCTGGCAGATAGAATAGCACATTGACTAATTTCACTAAAATTTTTGTCTTTGATTAAATTGTCAAAAACATTTTGAACAATGCAGTGATTCGAAGGTAATATGTAGTGTTCTGGAAGCTGTAAATTATCATTCTGGTCATTTAATGTTTCGTTTCCTACATCCAACAAATATTTAGCAAACTCTATTTCTTGTGGTAAGACTCTCATATTTGTTTTTAAATGATGTATTGTAAAATGAGACCATAAGTGACTATTTTTTAGAGATAAGTTTAATATTTCAATACACATTCCGTTAATTTTAATAGGAAGAAGTTGCCTAAAATCACCTCCTAAAACCATTATTTTCCCACCAAATGGTAGATCATTCTTCATAATATATTGCAATGTTCTACTTATGATTTCTAAAGCATATCTTGGAGCCATTGGTGCCTCATCCCAAATAAATACTTTAGTATTCTTCAAATGTACTCCTTCTTTAGATTGCACTTCAATACTTGAGGATGAGTCATTGAATATAGGAACTGGTAAACCAAAAGTTTTATGTACTGTCTTCCCATTAGGTAGCAACGTTGCGGCAATTCCCGTATATGCCATTGTTGAACAATTGATATTTTCTGACATTAAAACATTGTAAATGGTAGTATAAATAAAAATTTTTCCAGACCCTCCTTGTCCATCTATGTAAAAGCAAGTGGAATCAGTATAATTGTCTGAACGTGATGCTTGTAGAATTTTATCAACTACTTCTTTTTGCTCAACATTTAATTTCTGATATTGTTGAATGCCGACTTGTACTCGATGAATTTGTTCACCGTTATTATCATCATTATTTATATAATTGACGATATTTTGATCCATTGTTGGAAAATCAGCTAAACTTTTTCCTTCTCTAATCAGAAGATTTTTATTTCAGAATAAGCCATTTGATAGCTCATTTGTAAATCATTATTACGTGTAAAGTCTTCAGACATTGAGTTTTTGAACGTTTCCCATAATTTTTCAGGATAAATAGGTTGACAGTAAATTAGTATTCGAACAAATAAATGTCTTAGTCGTTGAGGCATCATCCACGTCACTGCTTCTTTCATGGCTTTGTTCCATTCATCGTCATCTTCAATAATTCCCAATGCTAAACAGGCTGCCGCGAACGAAGAATATAATACATTATCCACTGTTTTTAAATCGTTGTAGCAAGTAGCATTCTTTACATGCAGTAACAATAATCTTAAATGAAACAATTTAATTTGTGCAGGACTTATGGAGTACATACGACCTATAGTATTGAAACGATTTTTTCTGGTTCCCCAAGAAGAAATAGATAGATCATTAACTTTTTTTTTAGTATAGGTAAAATGTTTAGGAATTTCTGAATAATAATATTGCCTTGCTTTCGCGTCAGTTCTGTTCAAAGTAAAGTAATCAAGTAACATACTACTTGAATTATTTAAAGTTGCTAACATTGCATCTTGATTTTCGTTCTCTGTAAATATTACTGTTTGTTCGTTCGGTAGATGTATTGGTAATCTTATAACAGCGTGACTTTTATCTTGTAATGCTTTACTGAAAATTCGATAACATGCTTCCAGTGGACCGACATAACGTGTTTCAATGAAATTACGACCTTCGTCATGTTCAATAATGTTAGTATTATCTGGTTGGCCAATTACAACTGTGGCAGCATCGTGCCCTTTATAAATATATTTATATAAATATTTAACAGCTGTAATACTTGATACGATTTCTACGTTTATACGACAGTCTAAAATTAGTAATAGTTCCGCACAATGTGGAACAACCCAGCTATTATTAATTTTACGTCCATTAGGTAATTCGTAATCTTCACCAGTACAGCTTCGGCGATAATGCGGATAGCCATTTTCATCCATTGTAGTTTCTCGTTGGAATGGTTTTGGAAATTTTTTTGAGCATTTGTCATCTTTCATGCACCAGTCACCGCATGGACCATGAATCATATTTTTTATAACAATATCAAACAGGGGCGGATTTGTTATTTTTACAGGTATTTCAGCTGATATAAATTTATCGACTACATCAGCAGTAGTAATTTTGTAGCCTTGTTCTAGTGTTATTAATAAATGCATATGTGGTAATCCTCTTTTTTGAAATTCGATGACATAAACGTAAGATGCAACTTTCCCAAAATAATTTTTCTTTATAACAATATCAAGCAAGCGATCTTTTTTTAGATCAAAAACTCTTGCTACTAAGTCTGGTCTATCAGCGGCTTGTTGTCTTGGCAACAAATTTTCTGATATTTCTAGCCAATTTGGATTATATGTCATTGTTAAAAAGATATCAGGTTTTCCTGTCTCATTAACAATAGCCATTGCATCTTGGTAAAATTGTTGCATATGTCGAGGTGACCCAATAAACGATGAAGGAAGAGTGACAGTTTTACCTACATGACCATTTACGTCATTAGCACAATTTATCATGCGATCATGCAAACCTTTATAAGTATCAGCTCGTATTTCTTTTTGATGACTCTTATTATATTCAATTCTGTCTTTTTCAATTTTTACATAGCTATCTACTACCCATTGTTGAAAGAGTCGACGCCCTCTTATAATAGGATTAAATTCATCTTCTCTAAGAGCTATTCGATTTTTTGTGTAATCCAAACGTGTAACACGACGGTTTTTATTTGGATCTTCATATGTGCGCATTATATTTTGATGCCAACCACGCGTACCATACGGATAAAATAAAGGATAAATCCATGGTTTCACATTTTGATTCATAGTACTAATACATTGCAATGTTTTTGTGTTTTTATTTCTAATTGTTACGTTAAATTCTGGTATTTCTCCATCAGCAGTTGTTGAAAATATTGCAGCAACTTCGTTTACTTGTTGAAAATTATATCGCCGATTGTCTTGCCCAGGTTTTAATGAAAAAATCAACTGTAATTCACTTTGTGGTGATTGATTATGTAATTGTGCTGTCAGTTCCTGTAGATGTATTTCGTCTTTCATCATTGCATAAGATTTAGCAAAAATGTTATCGTTACGAATTATGCTATCCAAAATTGTTATTAATTCATAATCTATTATGGGATTCTGTTGCACTCGATAATTTAAAGCTTCATGCTGATCAATTATAAATAGTTGTCCATATGAGGGACTTTCGTCTTCGCTAGGGTACAGGGCTGTATTTATTTGACAATATATTTGACCTTGAATTTTAAAACAGAATGGACCAGGTCGACGTGTTTGAAAATTAACCAAATTAGCATTAAATGAAGCAAAGGACAGTGAATTGTTATAATTACGAATACGTTCAAAGAAAATTGGCGACTTCTCATGTGTTCCATCAAATAATTTTAAAAGTTCAGGTGGAAGGTCTGGTAATGAATCCAATTTCACAGATCCATGACCACAACAGTCATTGAAAGATAAACCTTGATTAGAAACTTTTTCATCTTTGAAATGTTTAGCATTACAATGTTTACACAAAATATTCATTGGCCCTAAATAATCTTTTTCAACTGTTTGTTCTAAAGTTCTACTATTGTCAACTATTCGTTGGCGAGCAAGCTGTCGCCTATGACGCTGATTTTCTGCTTCTCATTTTGACTGATTTATCTACATCTAATGAAGATGGTAAAAATATATAAAAATTATTTATGGCTTCACTCAATTTTACAAGTCAAATTGTATTTGAATAAAATAAATTTTTTATTTCAAGTTTTCATTAGTTTTAGTTTGGTATAGTTGCATTTGTTTTTTATCAATGTAGTTTAGGTTTGGTTTGGGTATGGGTAATTTGGTTTTGGTTTGACTTTGGTTCGGTTTTGTATGGTTTACTTCGGTTTTGTCTTAATTGATTCAGATGTTATTACATAACAGTATATACATTTTTTATTCTTTTATAATATATAAAATAATCATTCGATTTTAATTCAAACATAAATAAAAATACACACTTCACTATCGTCTCAATTATATTTTGCACTCGTTGTCTGCTGGTTTCCTAGCTGCTAAGTGGTTTGGTTTGGTAAAATTTATATGAATAAAAACCTGAAAAAAAAAAATAGTTCTATTTATAATGTGGCATAATAATAAATTAATACAACCAAATTTCTAATTTCTAATAACATTTTTCTATTGAAATAGATCTTATTCTTGATATCTGATATCTTGATATCAATAAAAAATGTATTTTTGAATATTGAGATGAAAATAAATATACAGATTCTGTGCAGATTTTATATGGATAACTTTATAAAATTTAAATAGATACTAAACAGAATCCATGCACAATCTGTATAAAATCTGCCCAAATTGTGTACAGAAAATGTTAAGTTGTACCATTTCTGAATAAAATAAACGAAAAAAATTATAAATTAAAAATGAACCTAAATCATATGAATATACATATTTTTATTATGTATATACGCCATCAAGTTATTATGCACAAATATACATACCTAGACTTTTTTCACTTTGATGCAAATACAGAAACAAACTTGTATCCATTCGCTTTTTTCTGCAAAATGAATGAAGATATTATAAACTAATTGTATCTTATATAACATAACGTAGCACATGCAATATATCTCTGAATTTGAAATACTGTATACTTCAACTGAATAAAAACTGAGTAATAATTATAATACTTTTAATTTGGTATGGTATTATACCTTATTTATACTTATATTCATATAATGTATAGTTCAACCAAATAAAATTATGTTATTATTATCACTCAGTTTTTATCCGGTTGAAGTATAGAGTATCATAATTTTCAAACGAATAAAAATTGCGTGATAATTAAAAAAAAACTTAACAAATTAAACAAAACAATGTTAATTTATATAATAAATGATTTACAGTTATTCAATCCAATTAACACGTGTTCACTTAGGTTATATTATGTACAATAACCTAATAATTACAATTAGATATTACTCTAAATTTTGGATAAGATAATGGAAAAACATGTACATACCTACTCTTTAAAAATGTGAACGGGATCACGTAAAATTTGACTCTTCGAGCATTTACATATCCTCGTGCTCTTAAATAACAGCTAAAGGACTCTCGCATCCACTTTATTGCCTGTTCTCTCACTTGTATTATTTATAATATTATTTATTATATGTACGTACACGTCTTTCGTCTTTTACGTCACTAAAACACACTTGACACTAAGAACACGCTTTTCGTCTCGTGAACGAACAATTTTTGACACCCATCGATGGTTAAAAGTATTGAATAAATTCCAGCGAATAGTAGATGGCGATTAGATATTATACAGCACCGATAGTATCAATGGCAGTGACTGTATGACCTCTCTTCCGCTCTCACCAGTTCCCCACTCCCAGCAGTCTCAGCTCACTCTTTTTTTTCGCACTGATCGACTCTCACTGCTGATTGATTGAGCATGAAATAGACGAAAATATTATGCAATTATTTAGATCCGTGATCACATTGTTTATTAAAAGAAGATCTTGAAAATAGCTTTCAAATGCCCCCCCCCCCCTCCCCCCACCAGATCGGCCGTGTACGTTAAAATGCACCGATGATAGCGGTACTAAAAAATAAGTTTATGTTTCTATGTTTTTTAATCAATTAAAGAAATCTAGATATAATAATTTTTTTGAAATAAAAATTGTTGAAGAATTCTTGCTATTACAACAATTTAAACATTTAATAAAAACAAAGATAATTAGATTATTAATGGTAGGAGGAGATATCAGAAAATATATATTATAAAAGTGGAAAATTTTATTTCTTTTAGTTACAAAATTCGTTGTACAGTATGCTTTAAAAATAGGTAAATTGTTGATATTACATACATAAGTATGCTACAAAAGGGATGCAATGAAACTTTATGCTATAGGAGTAACAATATTACTTAGATATTACACTGACTGATGATGTGTATTACATAATATATTTGACGCAGGAAAAATGATATTATATTTTTTTATACTAAAAATCCTATGACTCGTATTAATAAATACTTTTTTTACATATAAAATATTCGTATACAATGGTCAGTCAAGTTTCTTATAAACATTTTTATACGAACTAACAGATAGGACTTAGAAAACTCCAGAGTATTACTTATAATAAATAATAACTTTTGTATGATTACAAACTTTTTTCGTACGTAGTATTACTTATTATACTAAACATCATATGACTTTATTTAAATAAATTACTTTATTTCGATTCTGAAACATTTAGACTACTCTTGACTCAATATTTTTTAATTATTTCATAGCAATAACATAACATATTTATATATTGTACGAGGTGTGATCAAAAAGTAAGGTGAATTTTGAAATTTAGCGGGCTACGTCCGTTCGATCTTCGACTTTTTTATTTGGTTATGTCGGTATACTCGTCTAGAACATACGTTCCAAATTTCAGCTTTGTAGTATGTTTGGTTTGTTTGTGAGAGGCATCAAGGTTAGAAGTGTTTTGCGTGCTCCACGATTTGCTGCTGTCTAAAAACATGGATCAAAGAGTTTGCATTAAATTTTGTGTGAAAAATGGAATCAAATGTTCCAAAACACTTGAAATGCTGAAAGTGGCATACGGTGAGTCTACTTTAAGCCAAAAAAATGTTTACAAGTGGTATAAACTCTTCCAAGAAGGCCGAGAAGACACCGACGACGAACCTCGTTCTGAACGCCCCAGCACATCAACAACTGATGAGAATGTTGAAGAAGTGAAGAAATTAGTGTTGGGAAATCGTCGAATTACCATTAGAGAAATTGCTGATGATATTGGCATCTCATTTGGTTCGTGCCAATCAATTTTGACGAGTGTTTTAGACATGAGACGTGTGTCAGCGAAGTTTGTTCCGAAATTGCTCAATTTCGACCAAAAGAAACGTCGCATGAGCATCGCCCAAGAGCTACTGAATGACGTCAACGATGATCCAGATTTACTCAACAGGGTTATAACAGGTGACGAAACATGGGTATACGGTTATGACGTCGAGACTAAGACTCAATCGTCCCAGTGGAGGCATTCTGGATCACCAAGACCAAAAAAAGCACGCCAAGTTCGATCAAATGTAAAGGTTTTGCTTACAGTTTTCTTTGACTGCAGGGGCGTGGTGCATTATGAGTTCTTGCCACAGGGTAGAACAATAAATAAGGAATATTACCTGCAAGTTATGCGTAATTTTCGCGAAGCAATCCGCCAGAAACGTCCGAATTTGTGGAAAAATAAAAATTGGCTTTTGCACCATGATAACGCCCCTGCTCACACATCGTTGCTTGTGCGCGAATTTTTGGTTAAAACCAACACAGTAACGATGCCACAGGCACCGTATTCCCCAGATCTGGCCCCCTGTGACTTCTTCTTGTTCCCAAAACTGAAGAGGCCCATGAAAGGACGGCGTTTTGCCACGATTGAGGAGATAAAGACGGCATTGAAGGATGAACTAAACAAGATCACAAAAAATGATTTTTTGAAATGCTTTGAGGATTGGAAAAAGCGTTGGCACAAGTGCATTATATCCGAGGGGGATTACTTTGAAGGAGATAAAATAAAAATTGATGAATAAATAAATATTTTTTGAGAAAAATAAAAATTCACCTTACTTTTTGATCACACCTCGTATATATATATATATATATATATATATATATGTGTGTAATATAATACTACATAGCTAACTTGCTATTAAACTCTTACCTAACAATACTTCATAGTTATCACTATTTTAATAATTATGCAATACGACTTTAAAATTTATATTAGTTAGTCAAATCTAATTCGGCCAAGCAGTCTTTAGAACATATAATTAATAAGATAATAATAATGTCACACAGACTTTGAATAACAATGAGATACTCTACATCAAAGTTGTAAATTTGTTTAAAGAAGCAGTACTTCTAGCAGTAAATATTAAAAGAATATTTTGAATAAATTGAACAAATTGAAATTGAACAATAGTAATACAATATTATAAATAAGTTACTTGAAACAGATTCTACCTTACATTATAATATTAAGAATGCTGTGCTGTATAAAACGATAAATAAAATTATTCAAGCCCACGCTTTGGGGATTTTACTTCTCGAGCCAATGCTGACCCCGCCAGAAATATACGTACGGAAACCGTACAGAAACCGTACGGAAACCGTACGGATTTCCCTACATAATCCGTACGTCTTCCGTGCGTAAAACGCACGGATTCCGTACGGTGTTTGTCCGAAAAAAACCGTACGTTTGTCGTGCGTTTTCCGTACGGATTCCGTACGGTTTCCGTACGGAAAACGCACGGAAAATGTACGGATTTCGTACGGATTAATACAAATTTTAGAAAAAAAATAATTTAATTGTAAATTTTTATTTTTTTTATATCGATAAGATAGTGTCAAAATAATAGAATGAATATTTCATAATCAACAACACTAGTCATATTTTATTTATTTTACTTATGTTAAGTTGTACATATATTGTGATAAATTTTGCATGTCTGTAAAAACATGTCCTACATCGCTAACAATGATAAGATGAACAGTCGTCGTCATTTAACATAAACGATATTATTATTAAAAGTTATGCAACGTTTATACTCTAATCGCAACAGTAAGAAAAAGCGAATATGAATGCCTTATTCAGTCTCACGTACTATCTCGCAAAAAATTTTTTTTTCAATTTTTTATTTCACTAGGATTCCATTCCATTCTCGACACAATATAAACGGCAAAAGTATGATCTGTTTTAATTCCACAACTAGAATTTGATGCAAGACATGTGATTGCAGGTTCGTTTTCTATTTGAGTTTTTCAACAAAGTTAAAATGATTGTTAAAATAATGAAAATACATATCTAATAAAATGATTAAGGAGTCGCACTGAAAACATATTTTTCATCAAAACTAACATTATTTTTTTACTTTTAAATAGAATTAGTTGTAATAATCTTGAATTTCTTTTTCAACTAGTATTATATTACGTCAATATTAGCTAAGTTGCAACGATTACCGAAAATCGTAGACTCGCGCGAGGTTAGCGAGCGGCTAAGCGAGAGGGGCCGCGTTCGATCCGTGAGAGAGAGAGAGAGCGTAAGGGGCAATGACCGGGAGGGGAGGCTCCGACCGGCAGTATGACTGTGCCACTCAGTCAGTTCGTGCCGATCTAACCTCCGTTTTCCCGAGCCGTCCAAGTTTTGTGTTTCTCTGGTGACATTGCGAACGTGAGTGCGTGGGTGCGTTAGCAGCAGCAATAGCGGCAGCAGCAGCGATAGCAGCAGCAATATCGGCGGCAGCCCTAGCAGCAACAGCAGCATTAGCGACAGCAGCAACAACAACAGCAGCAATAGTAATTGAGGCGGTGCAGCAAGCAGCGGAGCAGCTTATTAGCAGCGTGTTGATCGGATACGGTTGGCCACCGTATCCTCATCGTTCTTGCGGTAGGTGCACCTTTTCCCCCTTTTTTGTTATTGTAATTTGCGTGCGATCCCGCGCAGCGTGCGCGAGGAAGATTAGTTGTTGCGTGCGGGCGGTTAGTTCGCGGCATTCGTGGTTTTCTCTCTCTCTCATTTTCAGCGTGTGTTGTCATTCACGCGTGCGTGCGTAAGTCTCTCGGCCAATTCCCCGTGTAAATTAGTTACCTCAATAAAGTGCATCTTTATCATTATTTTCGAGTTAGATAGTCGTTATTGTGTCTTTCCTTTGTCCGGAGGTCGCGCCAGTGTTTATTTTCAGTGGATTCGAATTCGCCGGTTGCGTAGCACGAATCGTGCGATTATCGATAGACGCGAGTCGACGGCTTAGGTTCCAGCGGCGGCCGCACGAGCGCTACTAGCAAGGGGCGACAGCGCCGCCAAGCGGTGAGTTGGGGGAACCCAACTCGGAACAGCGAAGAGACTCTGCGCAGGCGCACTCCGAGGCAAGGTAGGTTACTGTGCTTTGAGCACATAGATAGCAAGGCGTCGTTTAGTCGCAATTAAAGGTACGTTTGCATGATTATAGACCAAACGGCAGCCTGTTACAAAGTATACATATTGTGATAAGTTTTCAGTATCTTTTTACAATCTATTAATAAACGGTAATTAGAACTATGCGGCGATGAAAAATTAGAACTACAAACAGTTTCAATTATATACAATTATGAGCTACATACAATTATGAACAATTTCAATCAATATTTTTCAAGTTTTGTAACACATACATGATCGTGATAAGATACGTTGAAAGTAGCTAATTTCAGGATGTTGCTGAAAACAATAGCATTCGTAAAATTTGAACAAAATATGTAACAAAAATTGAAAATCAATAATGTAACATATTCGGTACGGCAGAAATGTATTGACCCAATGGTGTATTAACACAGACAGC